AGCAGATAAGCAACAAAAAAAATCAACAGAAAACCAACTCCCAAAAGACAGAAATATCAAACCCTTTTACCCCAAGCCTGACTAAAAAGCAATATCCTGAAAACACACAGCAGCACACTATTTTCAGGCAAAAAGATAATGTCTGTGCAAAAAGCAGAAAGCTCTATGACTTGCTGTGATACTGCCCACCTGATACTTAACACAAATCTGTGGGCTTTGGCCTCGCAGCCTTGTTTCAGGAAAACCACTTGAACAGGCTTGCCCAGCACCAAACCTTATTCAAACACAGAGGCTGAGGAGTAAGCTTACCCTTTCCACCAGCAGCACTGGCCCATGGAAGCAAAGCTGCTCCCTGCTGCTCTCCTCTATACTCAGAGGAGACACACCACCAGGACCAACTTCCTTGGTGAGAGAGAGTATTCACATCCTGATTTTTACCTGAGACAGGTCTAGACTATCTTTGCCCAAGGGGAAGGGAGAAGTGGGGGGGGAAGCATAAAAGACAACAGAGTTGCCTTTAGATGATCTGGTCTTTTCAGGGGCTCTAGGAAAGGTTCCACCTCTGCCTGCTTTCCTCTAGGGCACGGCTTCACTAGAGGTTCTTCAGACCTTTTGGCTCAGCTAGGTACATCTGGAAGAGGTTGCCAAACCCAGAACTGCCTGGCACATAATTCCTTCTAAACTGAGAACAATCAAGACATCAAAAAAAAAAAAAGAAAGAAGGAAGTCTTCATGCCAGCCAAGTCAGGAGACTGAGACACAGGTCTACAGGGAGAGCCAAGAGACTGCCAGCTTGAGCCCTGATGAGAACCAAAGCATCCTTCCACAGAAACCTGGAGAAGGAGTGAAGGGTCTGCAAGCAGCTATGGTCTCCTAGCTTGGATCACTGCAGACCCTGAGAAAGTGAGGGTATTGACTGAATTGTTCATTAAATGGGTGCAGCTTGCAGCTTTGGGAAGGAACTATGACAGAGAAAGAGCATGGATGCACAAGATACACGTTTCACCTGGTAGCATACTTAGCACAATAGAAGTTCAGAGAGATTATAAATGCAGAAGCCAGGAGAGGGGATGCAAGTAAGAAACATTTGCTGAAGGTGTGCCAAATCTCTGGGTTTACAAAACTGTACTGGAATCAGCACTGACCTTTCCAGCACATATACTAAAAAACCCAAGATTATGCAGTCTTCCAGGCACAGGTGAAACCCAGGTGTCTGGATGCTTGTCCTAGCACCAGCCAGAAGCATGGAGGCTTGTGCAATGCCATGGCACAAAAGACAACACAGACAGGCAGCAGAACTAAAACTGGAAGGAGATCTTACCGAAGTCCATGCGGTCCTTATGATTACGCTGCAGAAGGCCCAGCAGCAGCTGCCTCAGGTGGCTTGATGTCTCCCTGGGGATGCTAGGATTGAAAACAAGAGCAAAATAAGAGACACTTGCAGTCTACTTAAGCTGCTTTTACATATTCAGCAAGGCAACCTGCAAATGCAAACTCACTTTGTGTCTGCTGGGCTAGGAACATAAGACAAGCTCACTGGAGAGAGGCTGAACAGGAACATCTCTATTTGCATCTCCGTTTGGCTTTTACTCCCCATTGTCATTGTTAAGGCTACAGCTGATCTAGCTTTAGTGGCCTCTCCCCATGAGCACCTGCAGATCCTTCCCTTCCACAGTGGTGCCAATGTCATCCCTCTGGTTCTCAGCTAAGTCCATTTGACATGCAGTATTTTGCACACGATAAATAAAATCTCTTCTACTTGTTCTACTGGGAATAAGGAGGCCATTAAAACGAAGCAGTTACCAAGGGGAAGCTTCCAATTAAGACATTGGTGGTGAAATGTATCACCAATTACTACCATTTTATTAAGAATGCCTTTATTAAGGCATTCTTTTTCAATGCAGCTTATGTAAGACTAGCAAGTGACCTTCGTCTATTTGCTTCCTTGATATACAGCATTTATTAATCGAAGGCCACTAAGATGCGAGCAACTGCCACCCGAGCAAGCTAGAATTAGTGCAGCTATTACCCCACTTTCTAGTATAGCTAGGAAGAAAATACTCTTTTCAATGGCCATTGCAGCACAAAAGAGCTAGTAAATCATTGTGCTCTCCCTCACCCCACAAGCAGATGGGGGAGAGGCCAGGGCAGCTCTTCACAACCCCAGTAGATTGCGAGAAGCAGGGAATAAATGAACAGATTAAGGCAGGGAAAGCAGAGTTCAGCTCTTGCATAAGTGGATTCAGCTCTGCTGACTTTCCTCTGTAACCAGAAGCACTGTCAGGGGCTGTAGCAGCCAGGGCCTGCCCGCAGCCAGAGCGGAGCTCTCCAATTAAACGTAGGTGGCTCCAACTCCTTTCAGTATTGACTCTGTTTATCACGGCTGTGGCCAGCATGGCCACCACTGTCCGCCAGGCTTTCCCCTCTCCCCATGCGTGGGTCAGCTGAGGTAATGGCATGTGTGCTCAGCACAGTAATTTTAACTGCACAGAGCTCAAGCCTGCTCAGTAGCACAGCACGTGGCTCGCTCGGGCAGGGCTCCACTTTGCTGGGCTGGCATCACTCACCGCCCTGAAGCCAAGCCTGACGGATGCTGGGAGAAACAACCCTTCCTGCACCATTTCCACCACCTCTACCCCTGCCACAGACAGGGTAAAAAAAAAAAAGAAGCTGGGACAAAAATACTGGGGGGGAAAAGAGGTGCTAGTAGCACTAACAGACTCTTGTTCAGTGAAACTAGATACGTGAGGCAAGGTGTGTATTTATAGGTTTCAGTACTACCCGGTTATTTTTCTGTGAAGCCCTAGGCCTCACTAGCAAAGGAATTTGAGCCCAGCGATTCCTAGAACAGAGAACGATGGCAAGCATCCCTCATCCTTGTTTGCACTGGAAGAGCTGCTTTTCCACCCCTGACACTAGAATGGTTTCATGCGCCTTCCCAGGCTGATAAAGGAAGAGGCCACTAGGACTCCAGAAGGGATGCAGTTAAACTAAAACTCAGTTTGAGCCAAGAAGAAACACCCTCTTGTCAAAAAAGGTGTGCCTTAGAAGTACACTGCCCAACGGAATAACCCAAGATACCACTGCTAGCAGAGTCTCCTGAAAAATACATTAGTGCTAGAGACCTGCAGTCCTCCAGTGTTATCGTCATCATTTATTTATCCATGACACATAAAGCTCTCATCCAAAATGAGTCCACTTCCCAGCAATGACTTTAGCTTTTGTATGGTTTTAAAGCCAAGAAACAGGAAGGTCAAGTAGCAGACCTCAGATGTCACAACACAGACTGAAGTCGGTGCAGATAAACAGCCTGTTTGCCTCCTCTTACCTCTCACATCTAAGATGTCAAGCTTTGCTACGCTACCCCACAGTATTATTTTCCAAGGCCATTTTTTCAAAAAAATAAGTAACAAAACTGCCTCCTTCCCCCCATGATCTAGAATATACTCTGCCATGCAAATCAGCACAATGAGTGTTAGCTATTTAGATCAGTGCTATTAAAATTGTGAGGCCTTTGGGCATTCTCCTACTGACATGGGCTCCCCACCTCAGAATGGCTTTCACCTGTCAGCACCAGCACCAGCCCCGCAGGCAGAGACCGCTGGCAAGCATTTAATGTGCTTTTCTGCCCCACCCCGTTCCCAAGTTCCCAAGCCAAAACACACCACTTTCCATGGGGATGCCAGGGAGGTGGGTGCCAGCCTGCCTAGCCCCAAGGAGAATGAAACCAAATCCTGGCACTGCTGCAGTCCCAGAAGGAGGTCTCTGGAGTGGTTTTGTGTTTCATCCTGTGTTGGCAGGGCTGGCAGAGGCAGTTTATTCATGTTTACTCAGGAAATAGCACAGATTGCGGCTCATGTTAAAGAGACAAACTGACTTTGGAAAGCAGGGAACCAGCATTTACACAAAGGCTGCTTCGAATCAGGCTTCTACAGTGAAAAAAACCAATGGGCTTGGATCTAAATTTTGGAGGAATTTGGTAGTTAAAAAGCAGAGATGAGTGAGAGTGGTAGAAGCAGAGTGCGTACCAAGGACTCACAACAAAGGAGAAGGACTAACCCCTACAAGAACAGACATGCTGTCCTCTTACAGCTGAGTTTCATTTCTCCCCTCACCTGCCTCCTACTGCACGCCCCACGAGCCAGAGCAACAGCAGGGCAGTGTGAGCCACACAAGGAAGTTATTAATTGTAGGGATTAATTTTTCTCTTAGTAAGAAGGACTACCTCAAAGGTGAGCAGCCATGTTTTAGGCTGTGTAGGGGAAACAGAAGCTCTACGTTCTGCTCACACAGACTTTGCCTCCAACTATGTGGCAGTGTTTTTGCTTTGAGTTGTTCTGTTTGGGTGTTTTACTCCATCACGCCCTCTGGTTCACTCCAGAAGAGCATGCAGATGCCCCAGATTTAATCCTGGTAGCAATTAGCCCCTTCTCCCCAGATCAAAAAAGGAAGTACTTGAAGGGAAATTAAATGCATAGCGCAAGCCATTGATAAGAGCTCTAGCTTCTTGACAGTTCCTTCCGCTATCTCCTGGAGCTGTCTAAACTGATAAAGGAAAAAAAAATAATCCACATACAGCAACTCAATGAACTTCCTGTGTATGTGGCTGCCTTAGCAGCTCCGCCAAATGGAAACTAACTTTCTGGTTAAAAAACACCTTGCAATTTTTTGATGTATAAACTTGGAACTTCAGTCCTGTCTCTATACCAGGATGAAGTTTTAAGAGCAGGCATGAGGTTCTGCTTTAAGAGCTCAGAGATCAAAAGGAAAGACCACAGCAACAAAACCAAAATACACTGACAAATCACAGCACAGCTAGGTAACATACACCCCAGTGGGACAAAAGCAGTTATCTTCCTCTTGGAAACTGCAGCAGTGTCCATTTCCATCGAGGTTATATTTCCTCCTATTAGCAGGATGGACACAAGCAATTGCTGTCCTGACGCGTGAGAAATGGGAATGTCATCTGCAGTCAGGTATGGCAGGTTACAGGAGAGACTGCAGTTTGGTGGCTCGCATGATTCAAGAATGGCCATAATTTCTTCCCAAGATTCCCAGGAAGTCATATGTGGGGCAGGACCACTAGCTGGCTCTTGAAATCACTAACGATCCTGAGTTTTTGCAATGTAGGAGAGAATTATCATCTGCGGAGAGAGAGAACACCAACTCTGGCAATCCGCTGCTGTCTGACTTTCTCTGGGGCACAGCACTGCTGGTTTAAGGAGTGGGGGAAGGCAGGTGGCCAAGTATTTTACAGTCACCTCCCCGAGTGACAAGCCAGGAGCATGCGAAGACAGGTGTAAATACAGAGTAAACAAGTGCATACAAACAGTGACACTGGAAAAAATGCTTACTTCGGCATCAGCATCTTGTTTTTCTCATAGAAGAGACGAAGATCCTGTGGGCTGCTGGCCTGTAGAGGAGAAAGAAAACCAGTACATGAAGCAGTTGACAATGAAGGAAGGGGATTAGCATTTCTATTTCACAGTTACTCTGAAGAGCAGAAAGGCACTTTTCAATTGCTGAACCAGCACAATGAGAAGCTGCAGCTTGCTTTAGATTGAAAAGCCAGCACTGTGCCAGAGTGAAAATACAGTATTTCAGCCTGCTGCCTTTTTGTCCCTGACCTGGTTCTGTCCTGCTCTCCCCTTCCGAGGGCTGAGCTTCATTGCTCAGTGGGTTCTGATGCTCAGGTCTGAGCTGGCCTAACAGCCTCACCCAGGAGGCTACATAATTGCAGACATGAGGAGTCCCAATGATGAGTGGCAGCTCCCGCTGAGAACATGGATTAGGGCATTTAGAAAAGGGGCAGAGAGCCTGTTGATGGGCAAGGGATCTGTGAAGAGACCAGGAACATGGGGAAACAGCAACCGAACTAGGATTTTCTACTTTAATTCCAGGAAGCCAGAAGGTCTCAAGCCACAGCTCCCATTTGTGCAGTAATATACACAACTGCTGGGGATGTTGACGACAAGATCCCGAATTCTGAGAGATGGGATCAAAAAAAAAAAAAAAGGGCTAGGCACGAGAGATTTATGGCTGAGGTTAAAAATAAAATCGCCAGTATAGAAGCAGAGACACATAAAAATCTCCTAACGTCACTTCTCCATTTGTTTTTATGCAATGAATAATACAGGCCAGTAAATTAACCCTAGTGTCTCAAGCTTTTCTGCTTAGGCAAAGTCTCTTTATTAAAGGCAGAGGAGGCTGGCTGGCATGACAGACATGAAAGCACATATAAACAGGGAAGGAAGATCAGAGAGATTCATCTGCAATCAATTATTGGTGCAGCAGTGTGTAGGAAAGTGCGAACAAGGAGGCAACAGGCAGCTTCTCTTGATGTTCAGGGCAGCCTCAAAAAACCCTTGAGCCTTCCACCTACTTCCATGTCTAAATTAGAAGCATTTAAGGTCAATTAAGATGCTTAAAACAGCAAATCAGACAAGCCAATCTGCAGATGGCCATCAAAATACCACTAACGCAGCATGGCTGGAAAAGCAGCCACATAAGATGCTGTTTCAACATCACCTACTCCCTCTGACTGAAGATGAAAATTAAGGATAACTGAGAGCTCAGTACAAAACCTCAAGAGAAAGCAAAGGGAGAGTCTTAAAAGCTGCTAACATCAATAGACTCGTGTAGTTCTGATCAGGACAGTATTTCTGCATAGTCTTACCAACCCAAGCTTCACAGCTCTCCTATCAATTTGTACCAATAAGAGCTACTGGATTCCTAAAAGAAGGAAATAAGAAAGATTTCCTGGCTCTCCTTTCTGCAATAGCATATCCTTCGCTGTTCACAGACACAGCAGGGACCCAAACAGGAGGTGCAAAATACTTTCTTCACAAATCATTAAAATGAATGTTATTCAGCAAAGCACCTTGTTACACAGATGCCAAACTGCATCAAAATTTCCAATCACTGCCACTCAATTTGATTTGGTTCCGTAAAACTCCATTTTACACCCTTCCCCTTGCAGATCTTGCCCTGTAATTAGATTCTTAATGTTTGGCAAACTTTAATGAGGCAAGCATACACACTGCACCAAATGGCTTGGCCACAGTGCTCTGCGTGATGAAAAAATATGCCTGACAGACATAACGTACAAGGAAGAACAGAACTCCACTGCAGGGAAGCGAAGTGCTTGCTCACATCAGAGAGATACAAGCCTTGGCTGTTTGCTCTGTTCATTTCCTGTCGCAACAACTCAATTGTTTCACAAATACAATGAAGCTCTGATCTGTTTCAAACACGGTTTTGTCAGAAATTTTCCTGGCAATAAAGACAGAGTATATTAAAAGCAGCACACATGCAAAGCCCAGTTCATTAGAGAGGGTTTCCAAGCACTAGCTTGGATAGAAACAAAATCCTCAATAAAGTTCCCCTCCTCTTTTACAAATTAAAGAGATACCCCCTTAGGGATGTTGTTTCTCCTCGTTCTGCTGTCTCAGTACCATTCTCACTTGTTCTGCAAGGACCATATCCAGGGTGTCAGGCCACTACCAACCCAGACCACGCTTCCTCGCTAGGGCTGTCCCCGAGAGCCCACAGTTCAAGGCTGGCCTCTGATATAGGTAGCTGCCTGCTGCGGAATAGAGTCACTTTAGTGAGTGCCCAGCACAGGCAACTATGGATCACCATTAATTTGGTAAGAGCAACTGCATCTACACGTAACTTCGTTATTAATCAACCGAGTCACACAGTTCTGCTCCTAGCAGCAGGCTCCCAATAACATGCCCACTGCCCTCCTGCTGTCAGCACCCATTTCATAAACCACTGGTACCTTCAGCCACTTTGCTCACCTCTTCTTTCAATAAATAGTGCTTCTGAAAATCATGGGAAAAAATGCAGAAGTGTTTGTAAGACTAAAAATGCCATTTGAATTCCTTCTTCTAGGAAGCTAAGGACTTAATTTGAAATCTACCTTCCAGGCAGATACACCCTACCTAAGAAAGATACTAGAAAAACCACATTTTAGGCACCTAACAACTAGACCATTTAAGGTACACAGACCCAGCTGCTACCTGTAGGACAGCATCCATCTGTCGGAAACAGGGATGGAGAATGGACAGCTCAGTTTTTCCCAAGAACAGGGGCCACACCAGCAGTCCAATTCATGCCCTTGTTCCCCCTCTCATGTTACTATGGAGCAGCTGCATTACTGTAACTGGCTCTGTTTTTGTCTGTCCTTTCTATATATAAAGACAATTGGACAAATTCAATCCTGCCACTCTGTTACTTTGTCCTGAGCAGCAGTGGAAATATGTTGAGCCAACAAAGGCATTCAGCGTAACCCTGCCAAATCCCACTCGGTGCTGGCTGCCTGCAAGTGAATTGCACGCGAAAAGTACGCAGGGTGGTGTTTCCAGAAACACTCAGCACTGGATTTGTTGCGCTTGGGGAAGGGCTGGATGCAAAAGTCCAGCGCTCAGTCAGAAGAGGGCCAGAGACATTCACACCCTCAGTGAAGAGCACTGTCTGGTCAACACTTCATAGCAGGTGTATGGTATTTGCTCTGTTCTTTAAATCCTTTCCTTTGGGATTCCTGGGGATTTGGAAGTGCAGAGAAGGGATTCAGATATGTTAGAAAGAAAAAAGAAAAAAAGTAATGATGTTTCTAGCTCAGTAGTTCTATGGAAAAACTTGAAAACCTGCTGCAAATACCTTCTGCTTGTGCAGTCTTAACAGTTGATATTTTAAGACTCCCACAACTAAATGGTTGGCATTCAGGGGATCCAACAAACAAGCCAACCAACCCCCCTAAACCTTTTTCTTTAGCTGTTCTCCTCTCTACTCCCAACAGAGCAGGATCAGACCCACAAACACTGGGCCAAAAGCCAATGGTTCACTGTCTACAGCAACCAGTCAATCACTGTGCCCAATTTCAGCAGAGTAACGTACCACTGCCAGGAATACCTGTCCCCGTTGACACAGGACAGTCCAGAGGAACAGCTTTGGGAACAGAAGAACAGCCTGCCCAACAAATAAACCAGGAGTTCAAATTCTGGGTATTAAATCCTCCCTTCCCTAGTCCTCCTCAAGACCCATTTCACAACATAGCAGTTGTTGTAAGTGATACACAATCCTAATACTTATGCAGGCAGAATTAACCCAGAAATAAAACAGTGGACTTGGTACACCAGGCTTAGAAATTAATTTTTCACCCAGCAGCTAGCTAGGATGAGAACATACGCAGGCAGGTTTAACTCCTTCAGAGCTGCCAGACCAGGCAGCAAAACTTGCATTACCTCTCTTGTCACTTCCCTGCTCCCCAGCTCACTCTCCCGCAGACACAGCGCACCATGTCCGTAAAGCTGCTAGGAGAAGTTTCATGCAAAGGCTCAGACAGCAGACAACCAGGTTTCATGGTCCTTAGCAGCATCTGTTGTCCAAGTGGACCCATGCCACTGCCAGAGACAGCTCTGACACACACTGGATGTGCCTAGCTGTGTGTCTGCTTACCAAGAGCTGCCCAGTTTTAAAAGGAGTTACACAACAGAAACCACCAGGAACATCAGTGAGATTCCTCCCCCACAAAAAAAAAAAAGAAAAAAAAGAGAAAAAAGATTGTGGTAATTTAACTCTAATCATATTTAAAACATCATCTGACAAGGACTAGATTGTTTTTGGAAGATATTTTAGACCTTGTATAAATCTTTTTCTTCTCTGCCTCCAGTTTTGCTTCTGGTTGTCGCTTGTGTACACAGCCTACACCACCTCATGGCGGGCACTGGGTCCCAATCTTTTCAGCTCAGGTAAGGACAAGAGAAAACCACTGTACTCTCAAGGCACTTCCCAGTACCGGTCAGCAAGACCGGGAAAAGCACTGTTCAAGTCCTGTCCTCAGCAACAGAAATGAAGAGATGCAAGTGCAGACCACTTATTAGGCAAGGCAAATTAACAATTCCACATTAATACAGCGCTCAGCAAATCTGTTTATAGGGATTATGAATCCCATTAATCTCATCCCTATGGCAGTCTCACTGTTTTGTTTATGGGCACGTTTAATACAAAAAGCTCCTTAAGACAGCTTCCCCAGCCATCCTACCAACTGTTCACATCTGAGCATGAGCAGCTTCTTTCTTGTCTGCGTGCAGGGAGGCAGGGAAGGGACAGGAATAGCTCTGGGAAGTTGCCTTGGGTGACCCAGCTACAGTTAATTTTAACTTTGAGACAGCTAGAAATCACATTCATGCACATACACACATCTCTGTCTTGATTTACAAGCACTTTCTGGATTGACAGCTGCCTCAGCTTTTCCACACATTTGATCTTTTCTCCATCTAACCCAGCCACCCGAAGCTCTATTTTATTTTTAGACAGCTCATTCCTCCTCACTACAGACAACACTGGAGTCCTTTTGGTTTGCATCCCCATGAAGGTGCCTAATTGGCTCATGCAGCAAACAGCTAGAACGCCCAAATACAGCATGTTTCAGGCCACCATGCTCCAGATTCCCATGGGGACCTCAGCTGGACAAAGGTGAGGGGCTCTCCTTGCCAGTCTGGGAGGGAAGGCATTCTGAGGATTTAAGCCTGAAGAGGTTAACATCAGAAATCCAGTTTGTGGCTGCCCTGTACAACTGAGTCTGCTGGTGGCACTATGTGGAATCAGCCTGTTATCTCCCCACCCATTTGTAGATGTCCCTCCCAAAAGCACTCACTCCTATTCATGGTCTCCCCATCACCTCTGTCCGCTACCCCTCTCTCCTCCTAAACAATAGCTTCTCGCCTGCTCAGTGACCATCAGCAAATTCTTACAGCACAGTCATGCCAACAAAGAAATAAAGCCAGTTAACCTTTAACTAGCTTTCCAACATCTGCCCTAGACAGGCTTTTTTCACCTGAAACTCGCAGCTAGGAGAAGGCAATTTGTGACACACATGGTCAAAACAAATAGATGGTGCACAGAGAACCATCTGGGCTGAGCTCTCCTCTCTCCCTGATCAAACAAATCCACAGCTGCTACTGCAGTAACAAATGGGGCCTGGCATTTTGCTTCAAAATACAAACCCCAAAAGAGGAAAGGGCGTGGGGAAAAATTAAAATAGAGAAACAAATGACCCCCGTCCCCAGCCCAACAGATGTTGGATGTATACAGGAAAGAGAAGTTATCCAGTCAGGCAAGCACAAAGCACGGATCAGGACCTGCTGGGCAGGAACCGAAACATCCCTTCATTGCTCACCACGAGGCAGGGTATTGGCATGCCTCAACCAGAGGGACACAGGCATACAGGACTGCTCTCACCCCCGTGTGAGCCTGAGGACACACATACAGACAGAGAGCTGATGGTTTTCTGACCACCTGCCCTTTCAAGACCTTGGCTGGAGAGCTGAGTGAAGCTGACTAGTATTCAATTTTGTTTCCTGTGAAAATCTTTCTCTATATGAACAAATGTTTTCAGAAGAACATTTCTGTGACATGCTTCAATGACCAATGATAAAAGCCACCTAATTCTTTTCAAACAAATCAGATCCCCCAAGGTTGTGTGTGAGCTACTAAGCAAAGAACACCCACGATAAAGTCACCATGTTAAATAATAAATAAATCATTTGAATGAGTACAGTATCAAGGTGCCTTTAGAGACTAAAAGGCACCAAGTTACAAGACAGAACGAGTGCAAGGCTCTCCTATGCATACGGAGTCTCCACCCCCACATCTTTTTCTTAATGCACAAATATTTATTTTCTTTTATCCTAAGAGTCATTTTCTCCTCTCAAACAAAGATACCAACACTGACAGCAAGTGGATGCAGCCAGTAAACAGGAGCCATTCAGGAGTTTCAGTGCACTATGTAGGGGTGTTTATAAAAAAAGAAACATGCAAAGGAAATGAAGTCTTGCTCTAAATACAGAGCAAGCTGGTGGACAGAATATAAAGCACTGGAATGGAAGATTCTTACAGCAGCAGGGAAAAAATTACCCTGAAGGAGAAAAGTGTTCTCGGCTCTAGACAAAACCAAAACATACCATTAGTTTACTTCCGTATTTGCCCACTCTTT